GAGGAGGACGGTGAAGAAGAGAGGATGTAAGGAGAATGTGGATAAAGAGGAGGAGGAGGAGGAGGAGGAGGGGAGGAGGAGGAGGAGGAGGAGGAGGGAACGTAGGGAGGAGGGGGAGGAGGATGCTGATGGACGACAATGGGAGAACGATGATGGAGGCCGATCAGGGGGAGGACGACAATGGGAGGACGATGATGAAAGGACGATGGGGGGAGAGGGAGGACGAGGAAGAAGAGGAGGAGGAGGACGAAGTGTAGGAGGAGGATGACGATGACGATGAGGACGAGGACGAGGACGAGGAAGAGGAGGAGGAGGAGGGGGAGGAGGAGGAGGAGAGCGCCATCGACAAGGAAGGTGGGGGCCACGAGGTCCGCCGGCTCGACGACGCCCGCGTCGCCCGCGCCCGCCCCCTCACTCTCATCCGCAACTGCGGGGTGCTACGGTAAGAATAACATTCATTGGGCTATGCGGCTGTATTGTCATAGGGCAATTGGTCTATATGGCTATGGGGCGGTAGAGCTACAGGGTCAGAGGGCTATCGGGCTGTAGGGCTATGGAGCTACGGGGCTCTGGGGCTACAGGGCTCTAGGGCCATAGGGCTATAGGTCTATAGGGTTATGGGGCCACGGGGCTAAGGGAACATAGGGCTATAGGGCTGTAGGCATATAGAGCTATAGGGCTACAGGGCTATAGAGCTATAAGGTTATAAGGCTATAGGGCTGTAGGGCTATAGGGCGATTGGGCTATAGGGCCATACAGTAGGGCTATGTGGCTATAGGGCTATCAGGCTATGGGGCTATTTGGGCTATAAGGCTATGGGGCTCTAGGGCCATAGGGCTATAGGTCTATGGGGTTATGGGGCTATAGGGCTATAGGCCTAATTGCTATAGGGCTACAGGGCTGTAGGGTTATAAGGCACTCGGGTGCCCGCGCACCAGGGCACCCGGGCGGGCCGTGGAAATCGGTGACACTCCTCACCTAACCGGATGAATCCGCTAGGACCCCTACAGAGGCAAGCTCTGATTGGGGAACAACAGTATCTAAACGTGCCTCGTTCTGGAGGAATCGGATGGTTGACATCTCGCCCTCGGCACAACTTGTGGCATTGTGGCTGGCTGGCGGAAGTTGGCGGGAGTAATACTCCCCCCCCTCGCCGCCGGGAGAGTCCAACGCCGGGGCACCCAGGGATGCCAGAGTTGGCCATTAGCTCTCTGGTTTGTCACGCTGCGCCACCCTCGTCGCGTAACATCGAATGTGCCTTCGGCGAACCACCTCCGCTCCCTGCCTTTTCTGGAAGCCCCTGCGTATGTGGCCAAACGTCGGGCCAAAGTCGGACACATGTTTGACGATGTGTTCCCCAAGCCGTTGTGAACATGTTGAGGAAACATGTTGAGGCCGCCTGGGGCTGTCGGGAGCCCGAAAAGGCGGGAACGCGACATAAAAAACGGAAATCAATCATGTGCGTTTGTTCCTGCAATTTTGAAGGGCCTCTTGGAGCCATCTTGAGCTGCATCGGGCCTACACACCCGTCGTTGGACTATTTGGGGTTGTCTTCGAGGCATCTCGGGAAGCACAAGGAAGCGGTGGATGTTTGAAATTTTGGGGGTCCTTGGGAGGCGTCTTGAGGGCCTTGTGAGGGGCTCGTGGAGGCCTCCCAGGGGCCTCTTCGGGGACCTCTGGAAACCATCTTTGGATGGAGAGCTCCAAATGTCAGTTCGAGTTCCCATGAGTTTCCCCTCATGGGCCCTCTTGGGTGCTCGGGGCTGTCTTGGAGCGATCGTTTGGGGCTCGTGAGCCGTCTTGGACGTTCTCAAAACAGGAGATAATGCTGGAATAATGGCAAAGAGCATTTGCTCCACTCATCTTGACCTCTTGAGCCCGCCCCCAGAGCTTCCAAGAGGCCCCCAGGAGGGCTCCAGTTCAGATTCTTGGGATCATCTAGAGTAATTTCGGATGTTGGGGCCCGCGACCACGCTCCCGAGGCCTCAGGACAAGTCCTGCGGCAAGCACCAGAAGTTCTAAGAAGCGTCAGAGAATCTCGCGAGGTGGGGGTCTGGAGCTCATACAGAGCATCCGTGATATTCGGCATGTGGACTCGAAAGTAACTCCAGACCTGTCGCGTCATCGTCTTCCTATCCTTCATCCTCTTCCGTCGCGTCGTACTCGTGTTCTTTTAATATATATATATATATATATATATATACATATGTACATATACATATATATATATATACATATATATATCATGTCCTGTCTTCTCCCAATCCTCTCCTCTTTCCGCCCCTTGCCCCTCCTCCCCTCTCTGCCCCCCCTCCCATTCCTCATTCCCATTCCTCATTCTCGCTCCTCCACTCTCGCTCCTCCACCTTCCCGCTTCTCTCCTCGCTCCTCCTGCTCTTCGTCCTCGCTCCTCCATCCTCGCTCCCACGTCGTCGCTCCTCTCTCCTCCGTCCTCTCCTTCCTTCTCGCTCCTCCCTCCCTCCCCTCCCTCCTTCACCCTCCACTTCCTGACCCTCTGTTCCCTCGATCCTTCCTATTCCCCCTCCTCCGTCTTCTCCCCCTGCCGCCCAACCTCCACCACTCCCTCCACCCCTCATCCTTCACCCTCCCTACTCCGTCTCCCTCCCTCCGTGGAGCTATCGGGACCTCCCCAGGGTACCTCCAGAGGCACCCAGAGCGCCCCATGGGGCCTCCCCGTTCCCCCCCCCGCCCTCCTGTGAGCGCAACGCCGGCTTCACGCCCTCTTGCGCCGTCGTGGCCACACCTCCTCCCCCTTTCGACGCCTCCGGCTGCTCCGGCTCCAGTCTGCCAGCGACGAGCGCTACCCGGTGGTCGTCTTCCTGCACGGCATGGGTGACGGCAAGCTTCACGCTCAGCGCAGCCTCCGGCGGCAGTCGGCGGCAGGACGAACCCCAAATAGATTTTGACATGGGTTTATAATGTTCGGGGAATCTTGACCAGGGTTCAGAAGGTCTCCCCCGGAACATTATGAACCTTGGTTTTAATGTTCTGGGAACATTGACTGGGGTTCATAATGTTCTCCATAGAACATTATAAACCCTGGTTGATATCTTTCTGGGGATATTGACCCCAAAAATAGATTACCCTGGCGACGTACCCAACCCCTGCGCAAACGCGGGGCGCAAATAGTTTAGGACATTTTATATAGGGAGCGATGACGGAACGAGGGTTACATATGCCTGCAGACGGAATTCGGGACACTCGCAGGACACTGGCTACAGGACAAGGATTAGATAAAGCTGATTAGTTACAATCCCTGAGCAACCCTAGCCACTTCGAAGGCGGGGATCTCAGATCGCAGCCCCCCAGGGATGGCGAGGTCTAATTTGGGTCCGCGCGTGGCGTTACTGTGCTGGGCCCCCCAGCAGGCCTCGAAAGTGGCGACAGTTTCACAGATCGCAGCCCCCCAGGGATGGCGAGGTCTAATTTGAGTCCGCGGTGAGTACACACTGTGCTGGGCCCCCCAGCAGGCCTCGAAAGTGGCGACAGTTTCACAGATCGCAGCCCCCCAGGGATGGCGAGGTCTAATTTGAGTCCGCGGTGAGTACCCACTGTGCTGGGCCCCCCAGCAGCCTCGAAAGTGGCGACAGTTTCACAGATCGCAGCCCCCCAGGGATGGCGAGGTCTAATTTGAGTCCGCGGTGGGTACCCACTGTGCTGGGCCCCCCAGCAGGCCTCGAAAGTGGCGACAGTTTCACAGATCGCAGCCCCCCAGGGATGGCGAGGTCTAATTTGAGTCCGCGGTGAGTACCCACTGTGCTGGGCCCCCCAGCAGGCCTCGAAAGCGGCGACAGTTTCACAGATCGCAGCCCCCTAGGGATGGCGAGGTCTAATTTGAGTCCGCGGTGAGTACCCACTGCGCTGGGCCCCCCAGCAGGCCTCGAAAGTGGCGACAGTTTCGCAGATCGCAGCCCCCCAGCTGGCACGCAGCGACGAGCGAGGCAAAAGGCAAGGGGGAAGAGAGGGGGGGGGGAAGGAGGCAAGGAGACGCGCGAGCAGTGCTCCATTCAAAACGAGAACCCAACGCAGGAGGGTTGGGAATTGGGGATATTGACCCCGAAAATATACTAACCTGTGTTTATAATGTTACGGGATGGTTGACCCCGGTTCATAATGTCCCAGGCATCATGAACCCGGTTTGTGTAATTCTGGAATGATAATGATTATTAATTACTTCCCAACCTCCGGGTTCTTCGCCAAATTTTTCATGTCGGAATATTGACCCCGGTTCATCATCTCCAGAAGGTATAATTTTGGGTTGATAACGCTCTGGACATATTGACCCCAGGTTCATTGTTCTGGAATGATAACGATTTACCCTGGGGGGTGCCGTTGGAGAGTAATGACCGGAGTGAATTACACCCTGGTTCACAATGTTGGAATCAAAATTTTCGGCTGATTCTTCCAGAAAGATAACGATTCAGCCGGGAGGGGCTCAGCTTGATCCATGCACAGAACAATCTACTATAGGGTGTCATCTCAACATAACGAGCCTGAGCTTATCATTCCTTGATAATGAACCACGGTCGACGAGGATTTCGCAGGTGGCCTCGTCGGCGCCCGCAGGGCGGCAGGAGCGGCGGCGGCGGCGCCGTCGGCCCAGGGAAGAGACGAGCGGGAGCGGGAGGGGGAGGAGGGGAGGAGAAGGGGGAACGGGAGGAGGTGTCGGATTCGGGCTCGCCGTGCATACAGAGTCGGTGCTTCCCTGGACTCGCACCAGACCGTCAGTCGTGCGAGCTCCAGCCAGCCCCTGCACGACGAGAGGACATGCACGGCGGACGGAGGCCGCCTCGCATTCACAGCGCGACCGGCGTCAAGCCTTTGCAGACGCTAACCATGGACATTGAACCTCACGTCTGCGGTTATCCGCTCGCTTCGAACAGTCTATCAGCCCAAGACAGGAGTGTGCGTGCGCATTGGGGTGGGATCGTGGCATCGTTGTGAGTCACTTGTTTGAAACGGATTTGTTGGAGCCTTCTTGGTGCTCCGTTTCGGCTCCTCCGAGTCCGAATAGCAAATCTTAGGGGGATCGTGGGGGGGCTCTTTTGCCCCCTCGGGGCCAATAGCGCTCTCAGTTCTCCCTGAATTGAGGCCTCCTTGATGTGGTTCCATGAGGCTTTCTTGAGGCTCCTGCCCTTGAGGCTTTCTCGAAGCCTGTTGCAAGCTTCTTGGGGCACCAACGGGCCTTCTCGAGGACATTTGGGACGTTTTTGGGATCCTCTTCAAGCCCTGTTAAGCCCATTTTGGAGCGGCGGTTTGGGACGACGCCGACGCCGCCGACGACGACGACGACGACGACCGACGACGACGAGATTAACACACCAAAATGGCAACGGCGCGACCCCAATTAGGAGAAAGTTTCCTACTGCATGGGCGTAAGGATTGGCATTGCCTGGCAATGCAGTGTACTCTGTGTCCCTCAATAGTTTTGGGGCCCCGGACTACAGGTACCCCCCGGACTACAAGTACCCTTCCCCCGGACTACAGGTACCCCTCCCCCGGACTACAGGTACCCCCCCCCCGGACTACAGGTACCCCCCCCCGGACTACAAGTACCCCCCCCCGGACTACATGGTACCCCCCCCTGGATTACAGGTACCCCCCTAGCCCCCGGAACTACAAGCCCCCCCGCGTTCGCTACGTAGTCTCTGGAAGCCAAAGCGGCCCGCCAAGATGCGTCCGCACATTTTCACTTAGGCGTGCTAAGAAATTCGCCATCGTTGGGCCAGCGGTCGGGGCTGAGCACTCTCGACGGACGAGTGGGTACGGAAACGAGAAGATAACGAGGAACGGAACGATAGATCTACAAAGAAACAAAAAAATGAGCAGGGGAACGGACGAACAAAGAGAGAGAGAGAGATAGGAAGAGAAACACAACAGGTCCCCCCCCCGGACTACAGGTACCCCCCCCCGGACTACAGGTACCCCCCCCGGACTACAAGGACCCCCCCCTGGACTACAGGTACCCCCCCCGGACTACAAGTACCCCCCCCCAGACTACAGGTACCCCCAAAACTATTGAGGGACACAGAGTAATGCCGAGGAGCCCGAGGAGCAAGACCAGGGAGTCCTAGGAAACCATGGAGCAAGACTGAGGAACAAGAGGAATGAATCCAAGCCAGGAGCAAGACCGGGGAACACGATGAATGCGAGCAGCGATTCAGACTGGGGAGCTCGAGGAACCCAAGCACAGAACAAGACTGGGGAACCAGAGGGACGAGACCAGGGAACCCGAGGAAGCCAAGCACTGATCCAGACCAGGGAGCCCGAGGAACCCGAGCACTGATCCAGACCAGGGACGACGACGACGACGACGACGACGACGACGACGACGGCGGCGGCGGCGGCGGCGGCGGCACCACGACGAATACGACGACGATGACGACGATGACGAAGACGACGACGACGACGACGACTACGACGACGACGACGACGACGACGACGACAATACGACGACAACGACGACGACGACGACGACGACGACGATACGACGACGACGACGACGACGACGACGACGACGACGACGACGACGACGATACGACGACGACGACGACGACGACGACGACGACGACGACGACGACGACGACGACGACGACGACGACGACGACGGCGGTGGCGGCGGTGGCGGCGGCGGCTGCGGAGACGGCGGCGGCAGCCACGACGAGGGCAACGGTGGCGGCGACGGCGAAGAGGATGACGGAGGAGGTTCCCCGACAGCCCATACGGCCGCCTCGAGGTTCAGCGTCATGAACTCCCAGAGCCTGCCGCGGCTTCTCTCGAACAACCAGAGCACGGCCTTCGACCCGCGGCCCTGCTGGTGCCTGGAGGCTCGATACTGGCAGGCCTGGCGCAGTCGACCGCGTCCCTCAGCGGGCGGGCAGGCCTCTCGTAGGCAACGCCAGGGGGGGGGAAGGCTACGATCGGCTCAGGGGGGTCGGATCGACCCCCACTCGCCCACTGAGCGCCGAGAGGCGATGGGGTCCGGATAGCCCACCCCGCCCGGGACCGTGCGGTTTCGCTATCGGGGGTCCTGTCGCCGATCTATCGGCGCGGTATCGCGGATTCACGCTCGAGGTTCTCCCCTTGGATTCACGCTCGAGGTTCTCCCCTTGAGTTGGCCCACCCTTGACGTTGCCCTCCAGCCGGGGTAAGCGAGGGCCGCCGCTTCGGTCATGCAGCGTCAGGGGCGACCTGGCGCGAGCCCGATTTTGAAGACGGTTTGCCCTTCTTGCGCGCACCCGCTGGAAAGGCCAAGCGTAAGGGTCACGAGGCGTGCGGAGTATCTGCCCTCCATGTTCGTGGCAGGTGCAACCGTCGATATCTGGGAGCATTCACATTCGGGAAGTGGTCCCACGCGAGAATCCGAGTAGGAGGGCGAAGAGGAGGCGGAGGAGGAGGAGGAGAAGGAGGAGGAGGAGGAGAAGAGTACGTGTGGGAGGAGGAGGAGGAGGAGGAGGAGGAGGAGGAGGAGGAGGAGGAGGAGGAGGAGGAGGAGGAGGGGGAGGAGCAACATCAGCAGCAGAGTGAGGATGTGGACGAGAGTATTGAGGACCATGGGTGAAGACGACGGGAACGAAGACGGGGAGAGTGCGGAGCATGAGGCTGAGGTGGAGGTGGCGAGGCAAGAAGAGGCCTCCACCACCTCCTCCTCATCATGTCTGTTTTGCCTTCATTTCGGTTCAAGGCTACATATTGTTCACTTCTAAGTACTCGAAAGATGTTTGATTCTTGGGGGGACCCAGATCCTTTCATTTCTAATTGTTCTACACTGGGCCTCTTGCCAGGAACAATTAGAAACGAGCACAATTTGAAATGAGCACGATTCGAAATAAACGACGTGTAGGCTGTCCCCCGTGAGTGCCCGTCAGTCCAGCTTTTGAATTTGCAGCCATGGCGAGTCTTGGCGCATCCGCTGCTGCTCTTGTCGCAGATCTGCGTGGACAAGGTCTTCGAGACCGTCGTATGTGGGCTGGCCGGGACTTCGGGGGCCTGACCATTGTTGCCCGTTGGCATCGACGATCGCATGGCCAAGAGGCTCGAGCCTTCCACCTGAATAGGCACGCGATCACCCAGAAGTCATTCAACATGAAAAAGAGTTGGGTGATGCGACATGCTGGTGGAGTCCCAGAATGCGTCAAATCCGGGCTGATGCGGATGGACACTAAGGACGATGCGACGCACATGACGGATTAGACTGATCAGGCAAGCAGTCACTTGTCTGCTTCTGATGGTCAGAACAGGGGCCGCTGCAGCGCAGCCACGGGCGCCCCCGCTCGCGCGCAACGGGAGATGGCACGGCGAATCTTTTCCGCCGTGTACAGTGTAAGGGCTTGCGCCAGTAATCGTCGAGCGCGCGTCCTTCCTCATTGCGCTTGTTGTCATTATTGTTCGGACTTCACGTCCCAGGGCCTTTGCGACAACATGGTGCTGCGGGAAGCATTCTGCGCGCGGGCGATCAGGTCATCCGCCAGTGTTTGGATCATTCGTTCTTGTTACGTGGCCCTACCTTTTGACAGCCCATGTAATGCTGTTTGAAGGACCGTGCCTCGGCGGAGCGAGGATGAGAGGAACCGTTCCGCTCGACCTGGGTCGTTCTCCTGGTTGGCAGTGTACTTTCTGGAAGGTCACCGAGCGGGCGGCCCCGTTGAACTTCCAGCTGTTTGCGTGAACTCCGCCACTGACTCTAAACTGTCTGGGGAAGGGGCAAAGCGCCTTCGCTTTGGCGCGCGATGGCGCGGAGCCTCAACCCTGACCGCGCCCGCAACGTGTTCAGCTACGACCATCACGACGTCGCGACACCAAGCCGCGCAGTCCAAGATGCCGCGTCCCACCTTCCTCGACGACGTGCCCCCCGCCCCCCCCCCGCATTTGCGGCGCCAGGACTGGGTCGGACAGGAGAGGCACAATTTCATCAGCAGGCAGGTCTAAAACAGGCGAGACGTCCTGCAGCGCTGCATCCCAATCATCGGTTGAATCCCATGTAGTCCAGCCGATACCTGCATCACACCGAAGGTCTACGTAGATCTTGCGGGAAGTGGCCGAGGACCATGCTGTGGTCATCTTCTTTATGTTCCTCAGCACGAACACAGTATATATCCACCTCCCTCGTCCTCATCGTCTTCCTCCTTCGTTCTCACTCCTTCTCACTCTGCTTCCCTTCTCATGTTGTTCATCCTCCTCGTCATGACTCCTCCTCTCTCTTCCCTCCTCTTTCGCCTCCTCCCTCTCTCCTTCCCCACCTCCTGTTCCTCCTCCTCTTCCTCCACATCCCTCCTGGGGGCGGACGCGGAGGAGAGCGAGGAAGACGCGGAGGATGAGGTGCGGGAGGTTGAGGAGGATGCGGAGGTGAAGCAGGAGGAGGGGGAGAATGACGACAGCGGTGGCAGCGGCGACGGCAATGGCGACAGCGACTGCGGCGACGACGACGATGACGATGAGGACGACGACACCCGCCGGCCTCCAGAGGCCTCCAAAGGTCCAGAGATACCCAGGGAGGAGTTCCCAAAGGTCCCCCAGATGCACAAGAGCAAGCAGGACACACATGTGCAAGAAAACCAACCGACGACGGCGACGGCGATGACGACGGCAACGTCCACGACGACGACAGCGGCGACGACGGCGGCGACGATGGCGGCGACGACGGCGGCGGCTGTGACGACGACGACGACCGTGGTGGGGGCCCGAGCGGACTGGATCTGTGGCCGGGCCCGCCCGGAAGGCCAGCGCGGCGCGCGAGGCCGCCCCGGCGGACCCGGCGCCGTTCTTGGAGGAGGAGGACCGCCGGCGTCCCGGTCCGGCTCGACTCCTCCGCCTCCTCCTCCTCCGCCTCCTCCGTGATTTCCCATGCAGTGCGGCGCTTCTCGTTGCGCCGGATGCCAGGATCCTCGGCCCGAGCCCTCCGGCCTCGCGATGGACCCGCGCCCATAGGGTCGGCGGCGAGCGATGCGGAGAAAGGGAGAAGGATAAGGCCTTCTCAGAAGGCGGCGGGACTTCTCAGAAGCCCTCGCGCATTTGAGAAGCTGTTTTTGTCTTCGAGGGAGGCTTAGGACATGTTTCAGAAGGCCAGGGAACTTCCGAGCCTTCTGAGAAGGCCCTCGCCTTCTCGCTTCCCCCCCCCTCGCCCGCCGCCGACATGGGGTCGGCGCCCGTAGGGTCGGCGCTCTGAGGGTCGGTGCTCTGAGGGTCGGCGCCCAGGGCAGCGCCCGCAGGGTCGGCGCTCGGGAGCGGGTCGGTGGTCGGAGGCAAGAGTATCGATGACACGCGCGTCGTCCTCGCATTTGAGCAGGAACACGAAACTGTCAACCGTAACACGCTGTTGGGGTCGCTCGACCTGCGCGGCACTGCTGCGGTCGAGGCGCTGAAGCAAGGGGCAGTGCGGGTTCGGAAGAGGCTCATTGTTCCGTGGGTTCTTCCATGGTGGTTCGTCTAACATTTCTCGTGCACCCGGGCGTTGGTGGGGCCAAAGGTCAGGAAGAGAGACCGCATCAATGGCACAGCGCCGTGGAGAACCCATCAGCGCGTTGCTGGTGAAGAAGCACAAGGCGTTCGGACAAAATCGAAGGAACAACACGCTGACGGGCTCCCGACGGTGGCGCGTCATCCCCGACGCTGACGGGCTCCCGACGCTGAGGGCCTTCCCCTCCCGGAGGGAGGGGGCCTGTCCCTCATTGGGCGTTTCTTCTGGCAGTGGCTTGACGGTGCCGTGCGCTGCCTTCCGTGGAGCCGGGCCCGCACCGGAGGCCCTCCTCGGAGCGGGCTACGCGTGGTTTTCTGCCGCCCTCGAGCGCGTCGGGGCGCGGGAGGTCCGGGGCTGGCCCGCGGCGTGCTCGTCCGCCGATGCCCTCCCTCGCTGCGGTCCTGCTGGTATGCCTGCTCTGACGGGGCGCCGCCTGCAGGAGGCAGCGTCGAGGAACAGAGCGGCCTGCCAGCAGGTGCCCCGCGGAAAATGCATGGCACCCCGATGGCCCTGGGGGCCCACAGAAGCTACGAGCCTCAAAGATCCACGAGGCATGTGCCCCAAGAGCAGTCTTGGTCATGTGTCTACTGCACTGTTTCTCACGCTGGAGGCTTGCGCCATTCCTCCGAGAATCTCGTGACGACGCGGTTGACGTCTCCATCGGCATTCTTCCTACCAGCATCGTGCGGGAGCGTCTGCGAGCGGGCCTCCTCGCAGCGGTCTGGGCTGAGGTGAAGTTGGGGTCTTCGATTAAGTCGGGCGTGTCACTCTACAGGGGGAACGTTCAAGAATAGCAAAAGAAAAACTATGGGGACGATTGTTTGTTTTTGTTCTGACTATTTGGGAGTTTTTTGTTAAATGTTCCATTTCTCGTCCAAAATCCGCCTGTACGGGGACACGCCCGACCTAAGTCTTGGGGCGTACCTGGAGCCTTGCGTGGCGCAATCGTGGGCTGTGCTCGAGGCTGCAGCCTGCGGCAGCCCTTTCGGGGCTCCGCTTGGGCCTTCGGTCCTCGCCGCGGCTGGGCTCGCCTCGGAAGCCCTCATCAGAACGCGGTCCAGGACATATGTTCAGGGCTCGAGTTTGAGTCGATGCCTCCCCTCCTCCTCCTCCTCCTCCTCCTCCTCCTTCTCCTCCTCTTCCTCCTCCTCCTCCTGCTCCTCCTCCTCCTCCTCTCTTCCTCCTCCTCTTCCTCGTCGTCCTCCTCCTCCTCCTCCTCCTCCTCCTCCTCCTCCTCTTGTAGATATTGTGGGAACGCAACAGCGTCATCGCAAAGAGGGTCCAAACCAAGAGGGGGAGAACATCAGGGCGCTCGAGGAGCAGCCAGTACCTGTGATCGACTCGCTCCGCCGTTTCCCGCGAAGCCTCCCCAAACGGGTGCATTCTGGTGGCCCCGTTTGGCGGCGCCCCTGCGGAATGCATCGCACACCTCAGCGCATCGGAGTTTGGGGTGCCGATCAGAAACCTTGGGATTTGTAATCTGGCGTTGCACAGGAGGAGGAGGAGGAGGAGGAGGCATGGGAGGAGGAGGAGCCAGGTTTGGGTTGTCTGTGTATTTTCGGTCTGGGGGCGGAGCTCGGGCGAATTTCAGGGGACCTGTGGAGACATCTTGAGACATCTGGATGGTCCCGATACCGCTTGGCATTATTTCTTAGATTCCTGGTTCTTCGCTCGGGGTGCACATGGGGACGTTTCTTGGCGGTGAGATCACTGCTCCGTTTTGCTGGGAACAGTGTCGGGATAATGAAGGTGGCTGTGCAAAAAAGTCCACGTCGGGGGCTCGGAAGGGGGGTGGCGTTGTCCACTACGTGTCGTCGAGGAGCAGCTGCAGAGCCCGATGGCGGACTGCAACTTCGCGAGCGAGTTCCAGGCTATCGTCGTGATGCCCCAGGGCTGGTTGCCAGGGGGCGACATAGGCTGGACCGAGGACAAGCTCAGCCAGGTCAGCGCGTTATTTTGCCTCGGCGTCGTATCGTTGTTTTCCTTGGACGTCGTCCATCAGGGAGCCTCAAGTATCACATGA